AAATGTATATTTCGAGTATACAAGCGAAAAAAGAGAATAATGTTATTAGAAGATACATATACAAATGAGATTAGTGTGATATCAGCTTTAAGTCTGTTTTGTTTTCTTAAGCCCTTCATTTCACCAATAGATGGCACCACTATCTCTTTTCCGTGTAAATATTATTCTTTATTAGCGAATTAAACTTATTCTTATTCAGCGAATCTTGATTTGAATAAGATTTTTAAGAACATAGATTAAGCTATAATAATTATTTATTTAATAATAATTCAATACAATAATTTGTTTATCACTGAATAATAGAGAGGACAGCATTAATAATAAGAGATTTGATAAAACTTAAATATATGTAAGGTATATTATATAAATACATCGGTTTTTTAATAGAAAATTATTTGTTATTAACTTATTTTTGTACAGATCTTGATACACGTAAAAATGGTTCATGTAAAGTATTATGAATTCGTTGTGCTTTTTGTAATCCAATGCCAGGACAAAGTGCTAATGTATTTGGTTTTGTCTTTATCAGTTCATTTAATGTTCCAAAAGTCGATAAAAGGGTTGTAGCATCTGTTTTATTTACTGAACGTATTGTAGTTAAAGCATTTACCAACTGAAAAAAGGAATTATAATTTATACATACTGGAAAATTAATTTTTTTAAACATATTACCACACCCATTACCTACCTTTTGATAAGGTGCTGTATCACTTCTTTCCATAATTGCATCTGGTGGTTTATTCTCATAAATTTTATAGGTTTCAATCATTTTACCAGCATCCTCTGCATTCCATGCTAACATCAATGTCAAATCCGCAAGAATACACATTCTTGTTAAATGTTTTAGAGCATGATGTGGATCTGGTACATCTACCTGAGCATTTCAACAATACAATAAGATTATTGTTCAAACTAACATTTTTAGTCAATTTTATAAAATTATGTTTTCATAATCAAAATAAACCTGAACTAAGAGAACTCTGAGACTATACATATTTCCTAAAGATTTCAATCTTCCATGAATATAATCAGGATTAAGCTGATGATATCGTATCGATAAAAACAGTGCACATGTAGTTTTTCCCATTACATAGTCTGGCACAATTTCAGAAAATTCCCAAGGAACATTTGTTATGAATTTCAATAATGGATTTCCTTTCTAAAAATAAATTTTCTTATATCAAAATAAAATTAAATACACTGCATTATAAGAAAAATGTGTACTCTTATACTTGTTTTGTGTTGACTAAAAGTGTATTAAATCTTGATGAGTCCTTAGGGATTTCTTTTGACGGTCCTGGTAATTCTTCCGTATAAAATTCTGAGTTTTTTAATTCACTGAAAGCAGCTGAAAATTAAGAACAAAAGTTATATAAAATTTAAAATTAACAATAAGTATTTATATTTATATTTCATATTTTAAAACTCACCTTGAAAGGACTCAGTCCTTGCTTGTTTAGGTGGACAAACATCATCACCTTTATCTTCTTCAACCTTATCACCATTTTCCATGCCCAAATAAATTATTTATACTCTATTTAAATATTTTAATTATAACATATTAATAAAAAGTTTCTGTTTTTGTATCTCTTATTAAAAGGTAATAACGTAAATTAAAATGTAAAAAAATTTTAAAATCTAAGTGAAAACTACTGGAGTAAACATTTTAGTACTACAAAATATGAAAGCGAATAATAAACAACAACATATATTTAACGAGAGAAAAATAAAATTTATTTGAGTAAATAAACTCGATGATAAATTAATTGTATATATCGAGGAATTGAAATAGTTCCCATGAATACTAATTAAGTTATTTAGTTAGATTTTACCGTAGATACATCAACTGCGTTCACTACTTACGCATTTCTTATTAGAACTTCGTTGTTCCAGAATTAAATGTAACATATAACCGCTTTATTATGAAATATTTCACCATATAATAGAACTTTTCATATTTCCATTGGTAACACTGACAATTGATAACACTGATGATACATAGACTTGACATATTTTTCTATTCAATAGAATCATCGTTTTTCTTATAAAGTTTCGTTAATATTATATAGTTAAAATGAGACAAATCCTTATGCATATTTTAGAGCTAACACAAATGACAAACAACGGATATTTGTAAATGTAATCGAGAATTTATATATACATTCACAAAACGTAACCTAAGATTTTTAAATGAACAAGGAAAGGTTGGAGACAAAACCTGTCAAACATCCTTCTTTGAAGGATGTTGGCGTATCAGATCCACGTGCACGATTAAAAGCTCTTTCAGACTATGCATCTGCTGTAGAAATGGACCACAACATTCCACCACAAAGGTAACAGATTATGTTATCATCTTGTTACTCATATTATTATATACTTGAAAAATTATTTTACGAATTTAACATGTTAACAAATGATTCTAATTTTTTTTATTTTTTCACACTTTTCAGATATTATCGTTCTGGTGTAGAGATGATCAGAATGGCTGACATGTGTATGAAAGACGATCTTAAATATGCATATATTTTATATGTGAAATTTATAACGTAAGATTTATTGATAATGTCTGATAAAAATAATTGTTCACTTAAGAACTGTATTATTGTAGGATATTTGTGGAGAAAATAAGAAATCATCCACATTTTCATTTAGTGCCATTAAAGGACAAGGAACAGAATCAACAAACTTTACGTAAAGTCATTCCTAAAGCTGAAGAAATAAAAAAACAATTATTAGAGCAATATCAGGCAGAATATGAGAAATATTTAGAAGATGTAAAGTTAAGGGAAAGAATTGAGAAGGAGAAACTGAAACAGGAGGAGTTAGAAAAGTACTTTAAAAATAATTCTAGAAATAGATAAATGATATCAGTACATAACTATTTGATTAATCTAGTCGCAATATTTACTTAGATTAAGAGAAGAGGAAGAGAGGAAAAACAAACTTGCTGCGCTAGCAGCTGTTAGAGCAGCAAAAGCTATGAGTACGAATGTAGTGACTTCTGAAGACAAGTTTAAGAAAGTTCCTAGTATAACACCCAAACCATTGATAAGTCCATCTTCTGATATAGCACAGACATCTAAAGACAAGTAAGAGAAACATAAAAGTATACATTATTCTTATAAAATTGGAATAAATTTATTAATAAAAACGTTTTTATCAGAAGGACACCTACTATAGATCGTTCCACAAAACCTTCTGTGCTTATGAGTGACAATCATACCTTACGGGACATGGTGTTACCAACTAAATTAATGCAGAATTTCCTCATGCTGGCTTTTAATAATACAATGAATAATAAAGAAACATGTGGTATCTTAGCAGGAAAATTGGAAAGAAATAAGTTATTAGTAACCCATTTATTAATTCCTGAACAAACTGGATCTTCGGATTCATGCTTGACACATAACGAGGAAGACATATTTGATTATCAAGATCAACATAATTTGATCACTCTTGGTTGGATACATGTATGTTATTTTCTATATAATTTTAATTTTTCTTGTATTTTATTGTTACTTTAAAATTTAATCTAAATTTATATATATTTTTTTTTCTTAATGTAAATTTAAAAAATTTGGAAATAGAAAAAACAATTATACTTCACAGACACATCCTACACAGACTGCATTTCTGTCTAGTGTTGATCTCCATACGCACTGTGCCTATCAGCTTATGATGGCAGAAGCTATTGCCATTGTTTGTGCACCAAAATATGACGAGTATGTAAAAATTATAAATTTTTAAATACACATAAACTACTTGTTGTTGCAATGTGAAAAACATTTTTTGTTTTCTTCAGGACAGGATTTTTTATTTTAACTCCAGAATATGGATTAGATTTTATAGCCAACTGCCGAGAAACAGGATTTCATCCACATCCAAGTGAACCACCACTGTATACGGTAATTATGACAACAAATATAATGCTACTATGTACAGTGTACAGCACTTTAATTGTTATAAATTAAGAAATGTTTGTTTCAGAAAGCAAAACATTGCAAGTTAGATGTATCGGCAATGATAGAAGTAGTAGATTTAAGAAGAAAATGACATTTTTCATCTTGATATAACAAATTTACCAATTATCATAAAAAATTAAAAATACTTTCGCTTACCTAATATAAAAATCTAGAAGGAACATTGCAAATTAACGTTTGCAAAGCTTTCAATATTTTTATGATAAAGTATTTAAGAAGTATTTGTCGTATTTAACATAAAAAAAGCATTTAAAACTGTATTAAAGTTTCTGATCAAACAAATTATAGCAAGCGATACGGGAGAAAATTTTTATGTAACTTTGGAAGTTATATTGATTATTTACTAAATCGTATTAATTAAAAATAACGCAGCTTTATCTATAAATAACTGTAATTTAAAGTCTTTCATGCGTATTTATTTTCTAACTTAATAACATAATTTAGTTTCTCCTAGTGTAATTAAAAACTTGTCTATAATTTTTAGAAAGGACTAGATGTGTCTGAAGTTGAAGACACAAATATGCTTCTGTTATTTTTTATAGCGTTCACATTTATACGTTACGTTATAAATTAGAAAATAATATGTAAAAGTTCATTCAAAATTGTTATGAATGTTAGTGATGTGCAAAATCTGTCTATAAGTTTACGTGCCTTTTGGAGGAAAATAATGGTGTTCAAGCATGCTAATTACGTGACGTCTGTACAATATTTTACAGGATCGCTTTACTGCATAAAGTCACGATCGAAGAGTTAACAAAGGCATTGAAATTATGCTAGTCATAATTAATCTACAGAGCTTGCTATTAAATATATTAGGACATTGAAATTGGTATGTTGTTGATGTATCTGCTTGTGCAATGTGTCGTTGTACTTTTCATTAGAACGCTGTATATCCGAATTATATTAGACGCTGTGTTAATAAGAATCAGAAAATTTGTACTTGTAGGTACCTGACGCTAGATTCGTGTACTCGTACGTACGATCACGCGTTCAAATTTTTTTCTCTAGAACGAAGTTTTTGTGTCTCATAAATGCACAGTTCTTCGTATGTAAATATAAACGTGAATTTTCATTGACAATTTCCTTAAGCAATATGAAGTGCAAAGAATAACTTTCGTTGTAATAAAAAACGGTTTCAATGCTGAACCGCAATTAAATATATGCTATGCGACCAGAAATGTAAATGTTATTTAATTTAAAGACATATCAGCGTAAAAAATAATTTATTATAACTTAGCTGGCCTAATTTCGTGCGTGTGTCACGTGAGAGAATGTTAGTAAAGAATTTATATTTCTTAAACAAAGAAATAAATTATAAAATAATTTAACGACGACATGATTTTCTGTTATTCATTGTAGAAACTCTACTGTTGTTAAATGCGTGATTTGTGGGGGACCATTGTAATTCCGTCGGTGGGCCCTACTGAATAAGATTATTCTCTGACTAGGGCGGAATAAAAAAAGAATCACTCATAAGAAAAAATTATTCAGACTCAGGATATGGAATTCTAAAGGGAATCCATTGTAGGTAGATGCGAGTACTCCGTGAGAATGCTTCCCGCCATTCACATTTCCTTACGTATATCGAATTACCTGCGTTGAAGGGTTTCGCGCTTTGCAGGGTTTTATCGACGGCAGGGTCAATCTATTTTTACATGGCAGCTTACCTACGTGTTTTTCGTTTCAGTGCTTATATAGCGAGCGTAAATCACGGTACGCGTAAGCATTCTCCTTGTGCATACTTTACCCTTGCTAACTTCATTTCCACGTCCCGTTCCTTCTCCATTGTCTTTACTTATTCAAGTGTCAACGCACTTCTTCAATTGCAGCTGCAAATAAACTTGTCCCTCAATATTATCAATTACCAATTATAATTATTCAAATGTAATTTCTGCATTAGGGACGCTTATCCTTAACCTTAACAATAAAAACAAATACCAGTAATATTTAACTTTAATTACCAATTATACATAATACTTTAAAAAACAAAAACAATATTTAAATCACAATATTAACGACATTTTCAAATTATATTTTATATAACACTGAAATTGTTTTTTTAAAATTTATTAAGCTAAACGTAAACGCGCGGGCAATTTTCCGAACTGCTGAAAAACAAAGCGACATTACACATACTAAAATATAGTTCAATTTTTAAATGCGGACTAAATCAAAAATATTTTTCCCGATGGTTTGAATTTTATGCAATTTTGCCGAACTTATTGCCGAAGCATGGAAAAAGAAAGATATCGCAGATCAACTGCTTTAGCAATTACATATTCAATACACGACCATTTTAATTGTCTTTTATTACCCTATTACTACTTACGTGGAACTTTACACAAATGTAAAGCAACGTTGATTTCATTTAATTCTGCATTGCAAAATATCGTACACCCCTATCGAAACAAGCTTGACATAATTGGAAAATTGAATTTATCTATTGATTCCTAGCATCACCGACGCGTGTATTCACTCTAACTTGATACGTATTTTCTTCCGGCAGTACATCGCATGGAAAATTATGCGTTGATAATTGACCTACTGAATATTAAGAACAGTATTTACATTGTTGCATACATCGTTTCAATTGGTGCTACTTAATCACGATTTACGTTCGCTATACAATTTTTTATGATTAACACGTTCAATGTCATGTGTACCATATATGGTACACGCCAATTTCTGAAAGAAAATATTTTTAAGGGACACATGGTCACGGATGGTGGTATGCGTTATAAAGCAGCGATAACATAAAAGAACAATATCAAAATATATAAAAATGTCCAGAAACTTGAATATAAGTTAATATTTTATTTAAAAAATGAATACAGTTCATAAGCAAAATATAACCGAAATTTCCATGGCACGGAATGCGTTAATGTTGTCTACCTTCATCATATAATATGTCATAAACCTTTTACAGAATTTTTCTATATACTGAACACCTTACCAAATAAAAAGCTCGATTGAATAAGTAATTAACTGCGCCATTAGTGTTGTAATAACCTTCAGCATACGTTGCATTTCCGTATCTTTAATGGTAATTTCGCGAAAATATTCTGGAAGTAATGTCACTCCAATCTGTTCCTGTTCCACGTGTAAACCTTGTAACTTGATCTTGGAAGATCATCGAACCAATGATGGATTAATTAGGTACTGCATGGTTAACCGCCGGCAAAACATACCCAAACGGGTACGCACTGGCCTTCTGCCCTTTTTTTTCAAGTGTACCCGGCGATGTAGAAAGTTGCATAGGGTAAAACGTCAATGACGTACGCGTATGATTCTATTACGTTGCCATTAATCTTGTTGATACCAGTTTTTGCCGTCTGATATTGATCAGGCAGAACCTGTGCAGTGAGAATTTCAGCATACGTGGGTCTATTCCAAGAACGTAAACGGGGGTTACACTCTAGTATCGGTAAGAGTCAACGCAATTATCTTAATGACCGTATGTCCATTCAATATTCAGTGATTATGTAATAGTCATTACATAATCTCAATAATGATAATTTAACAAATGCAAAATGTATTTACAAAATAAAGGAATTATTTATTTCAATGGAGCTGAGATTTTCATTAACCTGTAAATTGTTTAGTAGTATAGATAACAGATTACTTATGGTAGTGCTAATTTTGGTTGGTGAAAGAAATTTGATGCGCGAGATATAATTGTATCGCTACTATGTATCATACCGGGGTAGTCTCGAAGTAGGACGAGCGCTAACAAACTTTGTAGTACAACGTGTTACTCAGCAAAGTATTTGAACTTCTATTAGAAGCTTTTTCTTTATATTGTAAAAATTGATTGATGGTAATTGTAATTTAATAAATGAAATCTGTTGAAAGATACAGTATGGAGTAATGGCTTCGTAAGCATTAATCGCACGATTTAATATTAAGCAACGTAGGGTTGAGTTTTACACTGCAGTCGGCCTGTCAACGGATCATGAAATATAAAACAGGTTTATGTGGTAGCAGATAAAAGTTGCTTATACTCAGCAGTATACGGTAGCTAAATTGCGTTTACCCAGCGACATTTAATAACATGTGATAATGTAACTTATAATATACATAACCGCTTTTGAAATACCTGAGCGAATTATTATTCGAATAAAATAGACAATTTAAATACGAAAATGATTGAATTGAACATTTTCATTTTGAGAAGATATTTTCATAGAGTTGAGTAGGCTTAATTTTTCTAATCATATTGAATAAGCTTATTAAGGTATTAAGAAGTTTAAACAGATTACTTTTATTTAATATCCTCTTATAAACATGAACTTTTCGGTTAAAACTGAATTACGCCTTATCCACACAAGTGACATCGCACTAAACGTGTTAAACTATTATATTTACTTTAACTTTGTTCCAATCGTCTTGAAAGTATCATCTAACGTTCAGTAGAGATAAACTTGAAATTCCTTCTAGCGTCGAAGTTTAACACATTGACTACCACAAAAAACATCAGCGTTTTATGTATCACTTATCCTTTCTATAGCAAAGATGCAAAGCAAGAATTATTAATTCTTTGATATGAAAATTTTTATATTCCCCTATCTTCTAGTTATTTACGTTACGGAAAATTTGTATTCGAAATCAATTATCTTCCAAGTCATAATTATTTTCTTATAATTTTAAAGCTCCGATCATCGGTGAACGCCGTGGCAAAGTGTTAATATTCTTAACATTAGATTTACGGAACGAGCCAATTTGACTGATATTGAATTTTATAAACATTATTTGGTAAATGTTTGGGTCGACTTTGATTGATGTAGTTACATAAATATGTGTCCTAATTATCTACTTTTAAATTTCTAATTTCCAAGATCTAAATGAACGAGTATCGATCTTTCTAAAAATGATAGAACAAACTGTATAGTAAATTTCCGTCAATCTAGCGTTAATATGTAACCTCAACACTCTTTGTGTAATTATTAAATTTCTTATCATTTAATATACACAGGTACACTTATCCAAATAGTACTTAATTTCTTGTCAACTGTACGTCTTCTCCGGGACTTGTGACGCGTTTGCACATGCGACGCGTTGCTCTAGCCCTCTCTTCGTTGCCTGTCACTGGTATGTAACGTGCCACTCCAAGCGAGTAGAACGCACAGTATGCTGTTGCTCTCGAAGGAAGAAACAATACGGCACGGTGTGTTTCGGTCCGTCCATATACCGTTCGAAATTGTCAACGTGTGCACATATTTATTCCATCAGCATGGAATAATACACTGACGTGTGGATCGATCGATGAAAAGTGATCAAATAACGGGAACATTCGTTTACCGTCCATCTAACCGGTAAAAGTCTACCTGTCTAATTATAAACAAGAATATAACCGTTGTTCAATCATTGTCAATGGAGATCATAATTAAATTAGCATTATCGTAACGGTAGTGTGATTTCCAGTGGTGAAAACTTGAATCGATCGTCCGATCAAAATTGGTGAACGTATCGAAAATCGGCAAGGTTTATTCAAATGCGAGGCCTCGTTCGCCGGGGCTAACATCTCGCTAACGATTGTGCAATTATTGGTGCCCGAGGCATACCGACGATCACGCGGTGTTTATTTCCTAAATATCGCGCGCGAAGAGGAAATGTATACCGACGATTCGCAGCCGTTTCCCGAAGTAGCACGTAAAACACACACGCGAGGTGAAAAGTGAACGGCAAGTGGAACAAACACAGTGTACGAATATTTTCTCTCCTATTGGAAGGAATATCATGGGTAATTGTAATGCAATTGATCGTGGGATGCTGTAACTGCTCGGAATATCGGTGTAATCGTGGTCGGACCTTCGCTGATCGCGTGCAACATCCTACGCGGTTTAGCTTTTATCACCTGCCACTGTTCCGCGGTCCCTTCCGTTTAAACGGCATACCGATTCCTTGGCAAACAATTTCGAATAGGGAAAAAGCGGAACATTTTACTTTCACGTTTGACGAAGGTATGCACACTGTAAGCCCGCGTACTGTCCACCAGGAAATAGGTGGAACCCTCCTCGGCTTGCGTTAACTTTTCCCTCGTGATTCGTATTATTGGAAACCACGCGGCCCGTATATTCGCGTATACGTATGCATTTCATCGAAACGCGACCTCGTCGAAAATAAGTTTACCATTCCTCCGTCTATCGGCTTGGCCACTTAATACCTGCGATAACGGCTAACATGATAGTTCGATATCGTAATTATCAACAGTATCCTGGAACTATAATAATGTATCCTGAACAGAATATGGTAATGCTTTGCTTACTTTTACGTATAAGATAACGCTTTCGAGTGCCCGTGAGTGTATACATATTTAGCAATGGTCGGTACGGTTTTTACCTTAATAAAATATTCATAGATTGATTATAAACACTTTTGTTTTTCTTACGCGGCGGTGCCAGTTGTCGGAAACTTTTGCACACGTAATCTCACGGCATGCGGATATTCTTTTTGCCGGGTTACGATTGCGTGATAGTATCTATGTAGTCAATCGTTTCTCACAATTAACTGAATTTTTATGGAGGACTCATCCAGTGAGTAGCCTGGCGTTTCCCGTGCGACGTTACTCATTAGCACGTGCCACACGTAGTGCCGTAAAAATGTTGGTGAGCCGCTGAGGAAAGAGGTTGTATGTATGTAACCTTGTCCGTAGAAATCTGGCACGTGTTCATTTCTCTAGAATTTCCCAAGATCGTTTCCAAAGTTACGAATGATCTCTGTTGACGTATATGCGTAGCTACTGCCCTGTTGGATTACCGGTGACTGATCTTAATTTATGTCTCTTCCGTGACTAACCGAAGTTTGTTAGCGTGACTTATGTATATGAGGACTTATTACTGATATAAACCGGTACATATAGAATTCTTTGTTTATGTAAAGAGAATAATTGGTGAGTGTCCGTGTGAAATGATTTTCAGATGTGTTCTCACAGAAGTTCTACATTGTTAGGGTGGCACTGTATAAAATTCAAAGGAATAGCTGATGCAACGGGTTTCATGCGCCAGCGGCATTCAGATTCTATTGTTGCGTATCGATATTGTAATAAAGCGTTCTTCGGATTTTACTTTGAATAGAGTAACTTCTTCGTATGTAAAATGAATGTTTGTAAATTCTTTTGCTCGCAGAAAATGGCACACGACTTTACGGTAGAATTCAAAAAGTTGAAATGTATGTTATGTAAATATTCAACTCGAAACGTGGAATAAGAAATTCTTTCTGTAATTGTTGTGCGCGTAGACGTACGGTTTCAGCATTTGATCAAATAATTCATGAAGCTAATACACGCCGGGAATGTACGAGTCTATAACGTTACTTGTTGAAAATTTTAGAACATGTATGAGTGGCCCTGGAGACTACTTATCAATCTCGCACTATGTACAGACCACGATCCTATCTAATTTTCATTCTCGCCTTATAAAAGTTGATTCATTTATCAATATCGATAAATATCACGACGAAAGCCAATATGTTATCTGTGTAATATTGTTTATAAGAACCGAAATCTGCGTTAATTACACATTCTATAAATCATCCTCTGAATATCCAAATACATCTTAGAAAATATTAGTTTTCAAATAGTTAGACTTACCAACAACAAAACATGATTTGTCCGTAAATGTCGAGGTCCTGGTGCAATCAATTTTAATCTATTCACATGAACAGTTTCCACTTTGCACCTTTCATTTTCCTCTTTCGAATTACATGCAACTTTAAGTTTTACTTTGATCTCTTGTTTTTAGATGTTATTATATTTAAGAAAGAAGCAATAGTATTATTCCCGAAGCAATTGCGCAACAGTAAAATCACCGTGTTTATCAATAAATACGTAATACATAAATGCCGGGAACGTTATCCTCATTCGTCTTCGCTACTTCCCCTACTCCGCTTCGTCGAACGTCACATTATGTACCTGCATAACTACGCATACTTTGTAATAGTGCTTGTTCATAACTCGGATCCTTTACACGAACTAGTCTATATTTGCATTTAATGTTGTACTCGTGTATAGACCATTGAAATGCCGCGGTATTTAATGGCAGAGGGGAGAACTTATAGACATAAAGTAGCTGAGTTACTGGAAGTAAACAGGAGGGACTAATGGAAGAAAAGCGGGGAGTCATTGGAGATAAAGTCGAGATTCTGATAAGAACGTAGTCAAGAACAAATTGGCGGCATGATAGAGGAACGAATAGGGGTAGTACAATAGAAGGATATCTAATTCCCAAATCTTGTTGAATAACAGGAAAGAAGCTCTTCGTTTCACGAAAATTGCAGTTTCTCGTAGACAGCAGTATTTTCTTCTTCGTTAGTCTAACTTTATGTAATACGACAGAAATTACGTCTCGATCCTATCGATTGACGCCATTGCTAGATGCGCATTTTAGGATGAACATTCGACTCTAGTTAATCCTTTATATTTGTTTCATATGTTTTACAAATGCTATGACGCCAGTAATATACAAATTAACACTATTTCTACCGGAGGTGTCAAAAGACACCTTTCGAAATTTTCAATTAAAATTATTTTCTCAGTTCAATGATTTTTCTACAATTAAATTTTCGGCGTTTTATATAGTTAATTTTATAATCGTTATTGGGAAAGTCAAAAAATCAATTCAGAATATACGACTAGGATTAGAAAATAATTTTAAGTTAAAATTTCAGAAGGTGTCTTTTGGCACTTTTGATAGAAATAATGTTTAAAAAAGCAGTAACAATAAAAGAGATTTTTCCATGAATTTAATATGTTTCACGTTCATACACTTGATTCAATATCGAAGAAAATATTCGATTTCCGTTGCGTTCCTTTTCTCGTTATCTCGTCGAAATTGTTGCTAGCTCTATAAGGCAGCAAAATTAAATTTAAAAAATGTATTCGTTATGTACGAGGTTTATCTAAGATAACAGATAAAAAGATACGATCACGTTGAAATTGATAATTATCATCTTGATTTCAGGTTTGATTTCGCTACGCGATTAAACCGCACGGCGATAAAACACGGGACAAGAGAAGCTCGCACGGTAGTGCTGAACTTGCGAAGGGTTTAATTCTATAAAGGGACGGAACGAGGGCATGAAGAAGATGCTTCAGCTGCCGGTGATCTTTGTTCTGATAATTTCGATGTTCGGTAAGGAGAAAGGACAGACGTGCTTATCGCTCGAGATAATGCGAAATGCATATTCAAGCGATATTTACCGTGCATCGGGGAATAAATATAATCGGCATAAATATTTACACTCAAAGTCCTCTTTTTAAGTTTCGTACATTAAATTCGATTGTTTTACGAATTTGTGTGTTGCGTTAGTGGCCAGTGTCCCCGTGGACACGTCGCATGAGGACGGACACGATAAGAGTGCAGTAGACACTACGACGAACGTGAACAATGGTGCAGTTAATATCACAACCGACAGTAATACAACAACCGTCGCACCTCTGGTTCAAGCGGCCGAAAATAAAACGGGTGAGCACAATGGAATTTTTTAACGATTGATGTTTTGTGTCGGTGTTAGCTTACAATTAGCTGGCAATTTAAATTGTGGAGAATCAATTGCGCCGCTTGCAAGGAAAAAATCCAGATGGGAACGTTGAATCAAATGTTTTCACACAGTTCTTTATGTCCAAAGGAATTGAATCCGGACATTGATTTGTGGAAATGTGTACAGTATTTGACAATATTCAGTTTTAATTTTGTTGAAAATTTTGGAAAATGTTATTCCATGTTTATGCATTACTTTTTATGTAGCTGTTATTATTATGCCTTACTTTTCTATGTAGTTATTATAAATATTATGTGATTTCATTCAAATTGTAAGTATTATCGATTATTGAACTGTGTACATTTCAACTATTATAAGTATACACCGAATGTTTTATCCTTATTATACTGTTATTTCAAATTTAGGAAATTTAAATAGTAAAATATCGGAACCGTCCCAGAACGTGACTAAAGCGAATGAGACGGTACCGCAGCATATAGAGAAAGCCAATGAAAATAAGAAGCATAAATGTAATTCCACGAAGGAACAAGATGACATGCAAGGCTGTTATGTCTTACCACATGACAGCGAAGAAGATACAGACGATAATTTAGCGGGAAGTACGCCAGGTACAGCGTCATTTCATATTTAAATAAATTAAATGATTATTAGTAGGAAACTAATTTTTCTTCGGCCTTTAATAAAGTGCCCACACCAGTTACGACAGACGTGACTAAGAAGACGGAGGTGAATAAGACGAAAGCTTCAACGGATGAGATTAAAATAAACGTTCAGAAGAAAAATGAAAGCGTCGATGTTTATCCGTTAAATTCAACGGAAACCACGCAGTCAGTGACCTATGATATTGTGTCGACCGAAGCGAGTAATGTTAAAAACACGAGTAGCACAGGTACAGAAATCACATGCTTTAGTTTTGACCGACTGTCCGGTAAATAATTATAATCGAGTAAGATCGGTTTTATTCATCGAATACATTATGATGATGATTTTCCAGAGGGAAGCTTAAAACCTACTGTAAAGCCTACTACTGCGAATGACACTACAACAAGTAATCCAGTAGAACCGCCGATGGTAAATAAAATAACAAGTGTAGAGTCCGATGGTACTGTTACAGAAGTGAAATCGGCAGATAGAAACAAAAGTATGCCATCAGGAGTTATAGCGTTAGTCATTGCGATCAGTTTTGGTGTCGCAATCGCGATAGTGTACATTGGCATGATTGTTTGGAGGCGATACATTGAGTAAGTCCTACGCTCGAATACTTGACAAATTTGCAGCATCTTATTAATAAATGAACCAAGCGTGTTATCTGTAACATGAATATATTCTAGGTACAGGTACGGTCATCGAGAGCTACTTGTTAATGAACTGGAATTTGACACCAATGATTTGCGTCACTTTGAGGTAAATGTTGTGTCAGTAATGACTAAACCATTATCATACAAAAATATAACGATGTTTCTTTATTGTCGTAGCTGTAATTTGGAAGAAAATTCAGAAACTTGCAGAAGAGATACAATTCAATGACTCACAGCTGAGGCTGGTACCATACACCTACTAAAGATTTTTTAATCTGTGATACTAAGGACATGCATTGCGACTGACAGTCAACAAACCAAATATATTTGGATAATGTTATACATTTCTTGTAAAATAATTGTTTTATATGTATACAACCCGATTTTTTCCACAAGTTAGTTATTCATTCCTCCTTTAGCAGACAATTACGATAATGTTACTGTTATTTATATTTTTTTTTCGTAATGATCATAACATACGGATCGTTGAATAATATCCTTTTGTTGGATAATATGTCTGTATGTTTTCGAAACTGTATGGGTGCTAGAACGAAATGTATCATTCTCTCAATAATTATTGTGAACGATATAACCCGTTGTTTTGTAGTATTTCAACTGTTATTTAATACATATTAAATTTTTGTAAGCTAGCATTATCAATTTTTGCTTTTCATTTTATATTATACCGTATGTGATAAAATGTAAATATTGTTAGCGAAATAAACAAGTGGATTATTTTTTTAATGAACGTGTATTTATTTTAGTGTTTATGCAATTCAACTATGATGAACCAAATAACGTAAGTAGACGTTTTAATTGTACTATTTGATCATAAAAAATACGCATATAAAAAATAATACATATGAGTTTCATACCTTATATGCTACAACTTATATAATTATTAACCCAAAGGATTTGCGCAACAATATATTTATTTATAAATTTGTTTAAACCACATTCTAAAAAATAGTTACAAGTAACAAATCCATACATACTTTCCATATGGTAATTTATATTGGTTTCCTTTTAGTTTCTTTTCTTCTGTTAATATGCGTATGTAACATATATAACTTTGTCCTCTATGAGGTGTCTACAGTATTGGTTGGAGAAATATTTGTGTACAAGAAGAAATATTCATGACATTGCAAATGGCAAATATTTCATTGCAAGATACAATGAAATTTGTATTTTCATTGGTTCCAATTAAGCATTCTTTTTGGTAACGACAAGGGGACCTACATTATCATTCTGTTCTTGATTATGTGGTCCATGAGAACCATCACAGTACGGCCACTAAAAGTAGAAAAAATTTAATTAATATCAGAAGAGTGCTTTGATGTGATTTCACTTTTTCGAATAATAAACATTAACAAATGCAAAAATATTAGTTATTAATATAAGAAATTGATAACCGATTGATGATAAAAGAAAATATGATTATATAACACATATGACATATGCTTATTCTTAGATATGGTTAATGTAGGTCAGTAATAAAATCCCTTTAAACTCTTAAGTTCTTATAATTAGGCTAAATGAAGAAAAATTACAGAACTTACATTTTTAGACCTCCAACAGCGACAGAAAACAGCTTTTTCAGTTATATCTTCTATATCAACAGAGTCTACTACTTTACTTACATCCTTCTTTATAGTATGATTAACACGGCCACAAGGCTAGAAAATTATAATTTTTAAATACATGCATTTGAATAAAACTGCTGATTATTGAATAATGGAATATATATTTCGTATTATTTACACACGGTATATAAAGATACTCAATACAGATGAAAAAATGTGAAATTTCACAATGAACTATTATCAATGTCTTAAGATGTTACATAAGCAACAAATAAAAAACTATAATATATCGTAATACGCTCTCTCATGTCCTTGATATTTTGGTAACAGGTAGGTTACTTACCGGACCTTTTGCTAACGGACAAAATGCTTTGTAGGACATGTAACCGATGCCCGCAAGCATCGCAGAAGGTGGAATTAAGGAGATCCAGTCTCGTACTAAATGGACATACAGAATCCTCGTCATTTTACATTATTTGTACCATTCTCCCAAGCAAAGTAGAAATGTCCCGATTTATGGTAACATGTTTAAACAGTTATTTCTCAGTGCTAATCGGAGTAATCTCACTGAATAATTAAATACCTAAAAACTAAGATATTTAATTTCTTACCTCCTAATCGAAACCATCCTCCTATAGAATCTGGAATCGGTAATCCAGCCAAATAATTCGGAATAGATACTTTGACGAGATGTGCAATTGGCTCCATGTTTGCTATGACTACTATCTGAGTCAAATTACGTGTCAAATATGAACGCAACCAATGGGTAAATAATATGTGCTTATATCATTATCTTCAAATCACGAAAGTTTACTTTTTGATGTCATAAAGCAGGGCTTACAAATGTAATTTTTTTATCTACGTTATCACAAAATTACCATCTAAAATAAAAAATATTAACGAAGACGAATACCAAAGCTGTATTTAATACTTTAAAGAAAATTTTTAATTAATAATTTGCATTAGTTCCGTAATCCTATAACTTAGCATTCTCATAAGACATTTTCTTAACACAAGCGTGTATATTATTCAAATAACGAAAAAAAAAAATTCATTCAACGCTAAGCGCATTAGAATCATTCTATGGAATATAACAACCAAAACAAATCGCAACGAAGCGTATTCCGCATTCGCACGTGCATTTTTAAATCGCTTATTTCCAACTGCACTGTTGCCGGCAGAATTTGACTACCGTAGTGGCACAGGTGAAAGGCCGGGTACTAATAGAATACATGCAGCGGTTAACACTGACGTTTGAGTCGAAGAATGCTGAATAAATAAATTTCATGCTTGTTCGCTAGTTTAAAGTTCTCGATAACATTTACTCAACTATCATCCTTTCAAGATTATAAAAATGTCAATGTCGAAATATACCGACACATCACACAAAAAATATCATCCGAATCATCCTCGTCAGAATCCGCTGCATTTAGCAGCCCTCTAGGGGCAAGCATCGGAGGCGTCGCCACAGTCGCCGCGATGCCTTGTAGGTGGCGCCATCCAGTCGCGAGGTATATGCCGGGCAGGGTGGAGGTGTCTGCGTCGTCCGCAAGGATACGACGTCGGTTGCCGCGACGCCGCCGCGGTTCGCGCAGGCACAGGTACGAAGTGCGCGCGTTTTCGAGGCGGTATCGCGAAAAGCGCAGGAGTGGCGTTTCCACGTATCGTGTCTGATGTTGCTGGTACAGGCCGTCGTTGATGGGTAGTGGTAGTAGCAAGAGGTTCGGCGGCATCGTCGGTAAGAGGTGATCAGGGAAAGAAGAGGGAAACCAGGGGGGAAGGACAGAGATAGAGGCAGTTGTATCGCGCGGTGCAGTGCGAAAAGTGTTCGCGAAGGGGACCCCTGGTTCGTCCCGTGTGTGGGTGTGCGTGCGTGTGGCCAGGCAAGCACATAGAACGTTGACTAGTGACACACACACGGTGTCGGGAAAGGGGGAGGAGATAAAGACGGAAAACACGGGCTCCGCCGGATAATCGTTGTGCACGGTGTGCGGGTTTCGTGAAGGTGCGTCAAATGACAGTGAGGTGATCAATGTGCTTGAAACATGGCTGAGGAGCTGGTGGTCATCCTGAACCGTGGCGACTCGTCCGGATTCGGGTTCTCGCTCCTCGGTACCGCGGGACTGCCGCACGTCATCTACGACATCGTCGAAAACTCGCCGGCAGCGAAGAGCGGCAAGGTAAGTCTTCTCGAACCAGTCCGGCCAGGCGATCGCAGGGGAACACCCGCGTGCCGTTCGGGATCGGTTGGCTTAGGAATCCGCCTAAAACAGTGGTTACCCTGACTAATCACGGAGGTAGTCGATACCGGTTAATACAAACATTGCGACCAAGGCTTTCGACCGTCCTTTATACGTGACGTGCGTGTGGCTAGGTACTGGAAGTTCGAGGACGGTCAAAGGTGGAATTACAAAGGGGCATCCCTGTGAGATATGCCGTGCACTTTCGCCGTTCCGGTCATTGAAAATCCTGCGAATGCAAGGGCCTGAAAATAACGCCCGGTGTATATCGACCCGTGTTATTATCACGAGCACCCTCTGTCGCCCCGTCTGTTTCTTCCTCGACCTCCGATTACTTTTTATTCTCACGCTTTGCGAGCGGTGTTGGTGCTTCTTGTATATACACCCGTCTTAACGTCGATGGTACAGGCGGGATGCTGATTGGCTGGGTGGGATCGGTTTAACGGCCACATTCCAGCCTGTCGGT